ACGGCCGCAGGCTGCGTGTGCCGGGCTGCAGCAAAGGCTCTGCGCTGGCTCAGGTGCGAGGTGCTGGGCCGTGCCGGGCGCTGGAGCGACGGGGTCCAGGTACCGCACCCGCAGGTAAAGCATCCTCCAAGGTCCCGGCAGCCTCGTCGCCATCCTCACCCTGCGGGAAAACGCGCAGGGATCTCTGCCCGGTCCCATCCCTGCTGGGGTGATGCCTTCTGCAACAGCAGCTCCAGCACGGGCTCGCAATGCACCTGCACCTTGCTCCTACAAGAACGGGAGCAAGCACAAGCCACCCTGAGGTGAGCCCTTCTCACCCCACGCTGCCCCAAAAGGAGCTGGAAGGAGCTGTCTCCATGCAGCAAGGTCCAGATTCACCTCTCCAAGCTTTGGCCGTCCGCAGGAGAGATGTCTCCTCCAACATTTGGTTCCTCTGCTCAGCGGAGGAAGACAGTGCTGGGAGAGGGACTGGTCTCAGCTAGCTTCAGTCCTCATCAGGGGCTGGGCTGAAGCTAAGCCAGTCCCACCAGCCCACAGCCCACGCTCAGTGCAGTTTAAAAAAAAAAAAACTGTAAAACTGGGGGTAAAACTGACGCAGGAATGAAAGCAGAAATGAAAGACTGCACAGGCAGCAAAGCCCCAGTCCTGCCCCTGCCCGTGGCATGTCACTGCTCCAGGGGACGCAGCCAGAAGCAGGCTGGGGACAGGAGGCAGGCGATGGCACTGGGTACTTCCCAGAGCTCCTGAGCATCCAGGGCAGCACAGACAAGGAACTCAGCTGGGACTGAGGAAGCGCACAATAGGGAAACTTTATTAACGGCCTCATGACAAACTCTCGGACCACAAAGGCATAAAATGTCAACCAAAGACATACTGCTAGGACACGGCGGAGCAAGCAATGCAACAGTTCTGTGCAGTTTCTTTCCGTTATTTATCTAACAGTTCTTCCTACTGCAGTAACAACCTATTTTCCTTGGCATGTTTCAGCTGAAGACATGTTTTGGCAGGAACAGGTAGTTATTGTAACGATGCATCAACAAAACACGCTTTTTCCCTAGCTGTAGTGAAGACACCAGATATCACCAGACACGCTTGGAAATGCAGGGTGGTAAACAGAGACGCCCAAGGATGGGCAAATGTTATCTCCCATTTTAGTGTGCTACGTATAATTTTAAGAGACTTACATCCCTTAAGCTTTGGGCTTCTTTAAGGAGAGAGAATGGGTGGGGAAGCTTGTTTATGAGTTACTTCGCTGTAAAGAACCTGAAAGTAAACCTGTTTGCATCGCCTTCGATAAGAGATCAGCTCCATTCAGAGGGGATCTGTTGAAATCCATTTCTGAGCCCATTTCCAAAGAAAATACAGAGAAACCCAAAACAGTTCCACTGTTTTCTTCTTGGTATACTTCAAGAAAACAAACCCAGGCTGAAATCTCAACGAGGGCTGGTATTTTCTGAGAAGCCTAAGGGAATAAAGTCTTCCAAATCATATTAAGAGGGAGATAATCCTCTGGTCTCTTTTGCAAAACCACAGCAGAAACGTGGAATAGCTTGCCACTCACATGATTGCTTTGCCCTTCAAAGGGTGAAATCCAGCCCTGAGCAGGGGGTACCAAGCACACAAGTAACAAAAGCGTTCTCCCGCCTGCTTCGCTGGATAAATTTCACCCCACAGGCTTGAACCTGCTCTCGGTGGAACGGTTCCCACCAAGGTCAACAGTGCAGGATCAAGCCTTAGGCGTGCTGCGGCAGGGTCAGGTACTCTGGTGTGTCTTATTCCAATTCATTCATCACTGTAGAAATTTTGTGGCCAATTTGTCCTATAAAAGGCAACAAAACTTTTCTTTCTCTGGTTTCCCTCCTCCCATGTAACGGGTACCGCTGATCTCCGTTCCTGTCGTTACTTCCTGAAGCTTCTCCTGCTGGACGAGGTCGTGGTGATGGAGTAGGATCTGGAGCCGCCCCCGGGGGAGAAGCCGAGCGCCCCACTGCCCATGCCTGCTCCCAGGCTCAGGCCTCCTCCGATTCCTCCCCCCAGGATCCCGCTGGAGCTGGCATAGCCACCTCCACCGCTGGAGCTGACCACGGCTGCGGCACAGAGAGAAGCAAACCAAACGTAAGCACCAGGGAACTTCCAACCCGGCCGGGCACCCTCCTGAAAACGGCATTTTTAAGCTGCAGCACCCAGATGAAAACTCTCTACGATCTCCTGCAAAACACCGGGCCTGGGACACTAATCTCTTGCTAGGTTTGGGCCCGGAGCGGTTGTTCTCTGTGCTAAGCCAGATGCCCGTGAGGGCTGAGCAGCCCCTCCCCTTCTCCATCACCCAGCCTGGCTCAGGCCCCCCTGCAGCTCGGAGCACCCCGCATCACAAACACATCCAGCTCGTCTCTCGGTGCACCCACGAGGCTGGGGGCACACGGTTCTCCAGCCATCAGCGGCAATTCAGTGAACGAAAAGTAGAGCCACTGGTGTAGAGCCCAGACAGCACCTCCAAGACACCAGCATCTGCCCAAAGCCCAGGCAAGGTGAGTACCCAACACGTCCCAAGCTGGAAAGTCACCCTCTAACGTCACCTTTGCACTAACTTCCAAGCCAGGCAGTGCATTTTCTCATTAGGACATTTTTCTCCATACCAAAAATGGGAGAAAAGAAAGATCACCCCAAGTTAAATTTCATACAGACGAGTTAGAGCTGAAGTCTGCCATAGAGCCAATGGCACCATCAACTCCTGTCTCGGGGGTCTCCCACTGAAGAAGGGGGTTAACTGGGCTGCAGAAGCTAAGGGCAGGCACTGTGAGGCTCCTGCCTGCAGCACCAGCTGGTCCCCACCTGCATTTTCTATAGGCATAGAGCTATGTGGAGCCATCATAAATTATAAAACCAACTCACAGATGTTGACGCTGCCAACTCCATCACCAGCCAACCTGTTGGAGCAGAAAAACACAAAGGAAGAGGCCAGGTTAGACTCTGCATTACTCAGCGTTCCCCCAGGGCCTCAGCACTGAACACGCAGACAATGGCAGGGAGTTATTAGTGCTCTTGTAAATAATTCAGACAAGACGGGGTGCCATCCAGCGCTTTGTTCGGGCCCTACATTTATAAGCTCTGTTATCACCCGGAGGGGGTTGAAAGAGCACAGAAGCTCTGTCCCAACTCCACAGGGATCTGAGCCACTTGGAAATTTTCTGGCACAGCACTGAACATATGACAGAAAACAATGGTTTTTTCTTTGCACATTTTCACTGAAAGTATCAAATTTTCCCCAGAACTTGCCAGTTTGACTCTTCAGCCAAAGCATTTTCAGGACCAAAAATCAAGTTTAAAATGCAGAGTTTTCTCTTCTGTATTTCCTTGCACAAATTGGATCTGGGGCCTCACAATGTCCCCAAGAAAAGGGCTGGACCCCTCCTCACACAGAACCCACAGGTTGCGCCCACCTGCTCTCCTCGCCCTCCAGCAGCTTCCTGTAGGTCGCGATCTCGATGTCCAGGGCCAGCTTGACGTTCATCAGCTCCTGGTACTCGCGGAGCTGCCGGGCCAGGTCCTGCTTCGCCTTCTGCAGGGCGGCCTCCAGCTCCTCCAGCTTTGCCCTGGCATCTTTGACAGCCAGCTCACCACGTTCCTCAGCTTCAGCAATGGCTGCCTCCAGCTTGGCACGCTGCAGGGACAGAGCAGGGCACGTCAGCAAGCATCTCACCTCCTTGGCGGAGGACACTACCGCCTGTGGACTTCCAACATCGACTGGCCAGACCACCTCTGCGTCTCTGTAGAGCCCTGGAGCCACCTGCTCAACTCAGATCCCTAGAATCTCAAGCCTACACATTTTTGGGGGGTACTGGATGCAGATCAGCCTGCGAAGGAAGCTCATTTCATCCCAAGATACGTTCTTCCAGAAGGCAGTCCCTATTTCTCTTCACTGGCTACCTCTTTGGAAGACTTTCTTCAGGTGATCCTCAGCTTCTCAGTCCACCCACACCACACATAACAGCACAACATCCAGGGTTAATGCAAGCTCAGGTTTTCTCTCCTATTATGCCCCACAGGTTGTTCAGAGCCAGTTGGTCTCCAGCAAGCTTTGATGTGAGGCAAGCGTGGACTTGAGCGGACCTGCAGTTAGCAAACAATGCAGACCTACCCCAGCAGCTGCCCTGTGGGGCCACATCAAGCTGGCAGTCTAACGCACCCTCAGCTGTGGCCCCCGCACCTCCAGCAAAGCCCCATGTTTGGCAGGAAGAGCTCACAATGAGCACATGTGCTTTATACTCTCCTTCACTGTTCTAGGGAGCTGGACTCAGCTCTTTGCTTGTACGCCTGTGCTGAAGCCTCCCTGCCCCAAAAGCAAATAAACACAAATGGATGAATCACAATGGCTTATCTCCAGCTTTGTGCACCCTGGCTATTCATGGCCAGTGTGAACCACTCACTGGTCTGGCTTTCACCAGCCATTTGATAAAGCGATAACAGACCCTGGAGCAAGCAAACAGAACTCCCATACAGCTGAAAATTTCTTCCATGTGCCCAAACATGGCGTTCCCTTCTGCAGCAAGGGAGTGGACAAAGCTCCCAGAAGCAAGAGGCTCCAAGGAATGTGCATGGCTGAGCAGGAGGCCACACGCAGCTTTCGCCCTTCGGAAACCATTCTGCATCACTCCTCTCCTGCGGTCCCAGGCTGCTGGCGGACTTGTTCTCACCCACAGCTCAGCTGCCTCTCAGCATTACATTGCTCACAACACTGTTTCTCCCTCCGGCAGAACTGACATCTTTCGAGGTGAGCATTGCAGCCACCCCCAAAGCGCTTCTAGAGAAGCTGTGTTACATTACGCCCAGATCCCTGGCTCGCTTGCTGCTAAATCCACTGCTCTGCAGCAGGAGAACAAGGGCAGCTCCTCACCTGGGCCTTCGCGTTTTCGATTTCACCCTGCAGCCTCTGGATCACGCGGTTCATCTCTGTGATCTCATTCTTCGTGTTGCGCAGGTCGTCTCCGTGTTTCCCAGCAGTGACCTGCAGTGCCTCGTACTGCGACACAAACCAGAAAAGGATGGAGTCAGGCTGGCAGCCAGCACGGCCGAAACCTCTCCCACTCCTGACACCCAAGACACATGTACTAAGAGCAGCTGTAACTGCCTTTCTCTCTCCCATAACTCACCTTGCTCTGGTACCAGGACTCGGCCTCCGCCCGGCTCCTGTTGGCAATCTCCTCGTACTGCGCTTTGACCTCTGCGATGATGCTGTCCAGGTCCAGGTTTCGGTTGTTGTCCATAGACAGCACCACAGAGGTGTCAGAGATCTGGGCCTGCAGCTCGTGAAGTTCCTGCCAGTTGCATTAAAAACAATACCATAAATCACTGACTTTTAAGGGCCTCTCTTTTCAAAGGCAATTAAAGAAAGAATCTGAGAAGAAAAGGGACAGGGAGGCAGATAGGAAGGATTCAATTAAAACATTCACTAATTAGAAGGAAAGCAACTGAATCACATCAACCTTGCACAGCACAAAGTAACAAAAAACAGCAGAAACAGAGCTACTTCTTATCACCCGCGTTTTGACAGCAAGGTTACTTTACCCCACTCCTGAGATAAGAACCTGGCATGAAACGCGAGTCCAAGAAGCTTGAGCATCAGCTTCACAACCAAGCGAGGGTCAAATTCCACCACCGCACCCAAGGAGGCAACCTGCCCGGTTCATTCCAACCCTTATCTTGCAAATAATGGGTCAGCTAAAGGTGTCTGGGACAAGGAGCTTTCCTTTCTTCACAGCACACAAGCACGCACCAGCACTACAGCACTGGCTATAACACACTGGTTTTCCTTGTTCTCACACTAACAGCATCAAAAATAATAATGCGTGTCCTGGCTCTGTTTGCAAGAGATCCATCTCACATCCCAGACAGGGGAAACCACTGCGACAACGCACAGGACGTGCGCCTCACTTGCAGGCTCAGTTCTGCTCATGCAAGGGCAGACTCCACATCTCCATCGCCCTTCTCATCTCCGGAAACAGCACGTTCGTCCTCTCAGTCACCACTCGCTGTTCTTCCCCCGCCGGCACTGCTATGCGGCAGCAGCCACAGTAGCAGAAAGGGCCTTACCGCTTCGTAGAGAGACCTCAGGAAGTTAATCTCATCCGTCAGCGAATCCACCCTGGCCTCCAGCTCCACTTTGTTCATGTAGGCGGCATCCACATCCTAAAAAAGAGCGATTATCCACCGAGATCGCCATAGCTTTGATGACTAAGTCCACCCAGCCTTTGACGGCTTCGAAAGCAGCCATGAGCCTGTCAAGTTCCCCAAGCTGTCTGCTCTCCACGTCTGCCTGCCCAATGACCCACCATCTCCTAAACATTATCCACCAGCATACTACATCTCACTGGTTGCACGATCCCCTATGTTCCGTAGGGTCCCCTGGACCTCTGTTTGCAAGTCCACTGTCGGTTTGGACAGGCAGGGCAGGCCTTAGGAAACGTCCCAAAGACATGGCCACAATCTATGATATCCACGGGATGTGGCACTCCTCCCCAGCTTCCTACTGCAACTCCAGTGCCTACACTATGGCAGCCTTTAGCCAGAAATGAGAGTGGGAATTCTTCACCAGCAGGTCTCCAGAGACAGCTGTAGCAAAGAGGGTGTAGGGGCAAAAGGGGGAGAAGGGCTGCAGACGGGTAGGATCAGACCCAGCCAACATCCCCAGCACGCACCTTCTTGAGCACCACAAACTCATTCTCCGCTGCAGTGCGCTTGTTGATTTCGTCTTCATACCTGCCAAAAAAGCCAAGGGATTGCTGTGAAATTAGAGCCTGGGTGAAAGGAAAAAATGCCACAGTGAAGAGTTACCTTGATTCCCTTCTCTCTCCCTCCAGCTCTCTCTGTGAAACCCCTCGGCCAAGCCTACGGTTCCCCACCCAAGCCAGCTGCAGGCAGAGGTTTGCTGGGTGCTATCTGCACAAGAGGCACCAGCCGTGCGCCGCAGCTCCAGGGTACCGTTTGGAGGAGCTGCTGCCTGAAAGTTGTCCTGGTCCACGCCACCATGACCACTAACCTGGAAAGCGTTTCTCACCCGTGCGTTCCCACATTCATCAAAATTCACTGCACTTCAGATTCCTGCTCCTTATCGCCAGTCACGGACAGCTGCAGGACGGCTGCCTGTGTCCTGAGGCACTCAGCTTTGTCCCTTGCCCCCCGAGAGCGCAAATGCAAATGCAGAAGGGATGCACGCAGACCCAACAAATTCCTCTACGCTGATCAAAGCACTGCTGATGCTGCTTTCACTGGGCACCTCCTTAGATTCATAGAATCATTAAGGTTGGAAAAGACATCTAAGATCATGAAGTCCAACCGTCAACCCACCACCACCACACCGACTGAACCACGTCCTGAAGTGCCATATCTATACGTTCTGTGAACCCCTCCAGGGACGGGGACTCCCCCACTTCCCTGGGCAGCCTGTTACCGCAGACATTTGAGAACACTTTGCAGGTGTCAGTCACAGGCCACCACCCTGGTATGAGTATAATTATGCCTGCTCTGCACAAGGTGGCGATGCTTCAAAGTCACACCAACTTCTAATACCGGCTACGTCCCCTCCTGAGGTGTTCACCCTTGGATGCAATGAGCTAGATCCCCAGCAGATAAGGATCACGCTCCACTGACTTCACTGGAGATCACTGATTTGTACCACTCGCAAGCCTGGATTTCAGAGCCCGCCTTACCCCATTCTACGCACAGCCAGCCTGCTGAAAGGAACAGCAAGCATCTGCTACATGAACCCTGAAAGTCCCCCAAGGAACAGAGCAGGAACCACTTTCTGTGGCTGTTTCGGAATGGCTGTTGCCAAAGTTAGAACACTGCCCTGCTCATTTGCGCAGTCCCTGCACAGCTAGCGCTGTAATTCGCCTTCTAAAGAATGAGATACTTCACTTACAGCAGCCTTCTTGTACCTCCCCTTCTGCTCCACGCTGGAAGCTTGCCCACCCACGCTGGCATAAATGGACGTTGTCCCTTTTGAGGTCAACGAACTGCATCCGCTGCTATTGCAGAATAATATCCGACCTGGAAATTCCGGGGCTGTGCTGCGTACACACAGCCTGCAGCACAGCATGGATCACCCGAGACAGGTGAAATGACTGGGTTACTCTAGAATGGTTCGACAAACTCCTCCTCTCCTTGGAAAGCTCCACCAAGCCGGTCAGCGAACTGAGAAACCATTCAATATTCTCTGTAACTCCTGAAGTGCCTCGGGAAGCCCCGGGCACTGTTGCACCTCAGCATGCCCCGCACCGAGCCACGCGAACACAGCCTGCTCCTGCCCTGCTTACTCTGAGCCACACCTTAGTCATGGAGCAAGGGACTGAATCTCATCCCCCGGGGCCTTGTGCACTCAAATCTCCTCCCCTACCCCAGATGTAAACGGAGAATTACTGTGTAAATCCGGCACATGACAGAGAGGCAACAGACACAGACAGAGCTAGTCATGGTTTAGGTATTCTACGTGGAAAATGAGATTTTCTTCATAGAAATGGGGTGAAGCAGGTTCTGACCTCCAGTTACTACATCCTTACTCCCTCCGCTGCACCAGCACCTCGGGCTCCTACTTCCTTTCCCTTAGCACATGTAGGGTTTAGCATCCCAGCATGGACCTGTAAGCTGGAGAAAGAAATATGCACCCGTGCACCTTGCATACATGTGACGCTCCACTGAATTAGAGCTGTAACTCCTCTGGGTGCAAACCAGCTCCTTGCTGCCAAGGGATGCAAAGTGCAACTGTGGATGAGCACAGAGTAGAAACAACTGAGCAGAGCTGGGGAAAACATCATTCCCATGTAGGTCCTTGGGAATTACTGGCTATTCACTTTCCCTAAACACACCCTGGGGATTATCAGATGATTGTTTTCAGTTCCTGCTTGATCCAGTTTACCAGCTCCCTCTTTCCTTTTTTTTTTTTAATTAAAGGCATTCCCCTGTACAGCTGGGTTGGGCACAGCCGGGGACAAAGGCTACTTTCTCCGTGGGACTCCTCCCAGGTGACACGAATTGGACTGAAAAGTTGCTTAAAAATTGCAGGTCAGCTGCTCCACTGCCTACCCACAAAGCACGCAGCAGCTCCCCCACCACCTGGTGACCTGCTCAGCTCCCACAGGGCTCCTACGGACCCAAACGGGCACGCCCAACCCAAAGCACGAAGCCATCCCTTGAGCAGGCCCCTGAGCAGAGCCAAGAGGACGGAGCCACTGAAGACCATGTGGGAATAAGGTGCCAGGAACAACGAGCGATCCAGGCAAGAAGAATCCAGGCAGCCTGCTTGGACTAGACACCTAGCTCCTGGCTGGAAAAAAAACCTCCCTCCCTAGCAGAAAAGCCAGGGACATCTCTCCCAAGCTACTGACCAACCTGCCAGCAAAACTACACCGTTAGATGGGAAGATTATACATTACTTGGTCTTGAAATCCTCAACAAGATCCTGCATGTTCTTCAGTTCGCCCTCCAAACGCCCTTTGTCATTCAACAACCCATCCAGCTGACGCCGCAGGTTGTTGATGTATGTCTCAAACATGGGAGCAATGTTACTCCGGGAGGTCTTCTGGTCCTGGAGGAGGCTCCATTTGGTCTCCAAAATTTTGTTTTGCTGCTCCAGGAACCGGACCTGGAAAGCAACCAAGGGGTCATTTGTGAAAGCGGGAGGAAGGAGGAGCTGACACCACAGAGTTTGGCTCCTGGGGGAAAGATGGGCTGCAGATGGTATCTGAAGAATTCAGATTACTCAGGGGAAGCACCTAAACTCTGGAGGGTGATAAAGACCATGAGGGAGCACTGCAACTCTGGGGCTTGGCTTATTGACTTTAAGGCTTTGTATGAATTAAAGATAAGCAGATTCTGCTTGCCTGACACTTCACAGAAGCCATCCACAGACCTCAAAGTCAGCCAATTACTCAGACCCCAGGTCTGGATTCCTTGCATTTTGAGCATGCCAGAGCTGAAGTTTACAGGACACAGGATCAAATAGTGCAAGACAGCAAAGCCGCCTGGGTACAGGGCAGCACAAAGAGACACAGCAAGCTCTGGCTTACGCCGAGGTTTGCTGTACTGGGACGACCCCTCCCCAGGAAGCTCCCGCCACCCTGAATTTGGTGGTCGTGTGTTCGGGTGCCGATGTGATCTTTAAAGCCTGCACCCACATTATGGGCAACACCGGCTAAATAAAGGGAGTACAAAGGTGGCCTAAGCAGGGCAAAACCCTTTACTGACAATGCAAGCAGGGCTTTAATAAGAGTTACTGGATTGCAGTAGGCAAATCACACCGTGCTCTTGAGGACCTGATCCTGAGCCCATTTATGAATCCCCGCTGGGTAAAGCGACCTTTGGGTCAGACTTGCTTTTAAGCAGCATCCCACAGTCTTTCCCACACCTCACCTTGTCAATGAAGGAGGCGAATCTGTTGTTGAGCGTCTTGATCTGCTCCTTCTCCTCCTTGCGCACGCGCTGGATGGTGGGGTCGATCTCCAGATTCAGGGGCGTCAGGAGGCTCTGGTTGACGGTGACCTCCTGAATGCCCCCGGGGCTGACCGCCCCACCGAAGCCCATGCCTCCATAGCTGCCTCCAGAGCCGTATCCAGAGCGGATGCCGTAGGAGCTGCTACCTCCAAGGGAGATCCGCTTGTTGGCGGGGCCGGGGGTGTAGCTGGAGCTGCCAAAGCCACCGGCCCTGCCTAAGCCGGCACCCCCTCCTAGTCCACGGGTCGAGGAGACGGTGCTGACCCGCACTTGGCTGATGCCTGGGACGGCCACAGAGCGAGAGCTGAAACTCACAGACCGGGACATGGCTGCTCTGAGGGTGTTTTCAGTATCCCCCACCCTTCACAAGCTCAGGGAAGCTGTGCTGGAGACCAGGGAAGTGAGCGAGTCCTCCTGGCTGCTTCTCCTTTTATCCGTTAGAAAAGCTGGGCTTGGCCCAAGGGCAGAAGAGGGATCATTTTAGTGCCTGGAGAGCTGGGTGTGCCTGGCTGCCCTCCCACCCTCCCTCCTCTCCTGGGCAGAGAGCTGTAACAGCACAGGTCTGATCCCCATTCCCTCAAGGCTTCTCCATTCCTCCCCGCCTGCCTAAACAGACGGTGAAATGAGACGAGGGGGAATGCGCGTTGCTTTTTAACTCTGTCGCAGGGCAGGCAGCTCCCTGTGCGACGGCAGAAAGCAGCTCAGGGGCCTCAGCTCAGCGCCAGGTCCAGCCAGGTCCAGGACAAGGGGCAATGGGCACAAACTGAGGCACAGGAAGTTCTGTCTGAACATGAGGAAGAACTTCTTCCCTCTGAGGGTGACGGAGCCCTGGCCCAGGCTGCCCAGGGAGGCTGTGGAGTCTCCTTCTCTGGAGATATTCAAGACCTGCCTGGACAAGGTCCTCTGCAGCCTGCTCTGGGTGACCCTGCTTGGGCAGGGGGGTTGGACTAGATGACCCACAGAGGTCCCTTCCAACCCCTACTATTCTGTGATTCTGTGATTCTGTGTTTAGCAGAACCCAAAGGCAGCTGCAGCCCTGGACACAGGCAGCGCGCTCTGCCAGCAGCACCCGGCGAGTCTGCGCCATGCAGGGGCAGGAGATGCCGCAGCCACCTCTGGGCACTGTGGCTTTGCCTTCTCTCTCCTGTTAGCGTGCAAATAAAGGTGGTTTAGGTGGCTTGCGCCCTGCATATGGAAATACCCGACGTGCCAGGCCACACTCAGGAGACAGGACAGATTTCTGCTTAAGTTTCTGGGTTCCTATGCAGAAGAGGCAGAGATAAAAATTAGCTTTATGGGCTTTCTGCATTTTCAAACAGCCTTGAAGGGACAGGCCTCTTTACTATCAGGTTGTAAATCCTCCATGAGATTTCAAAGTCTGACCTCACTGTGTCACCCTTCAGCTCTTCCCCTCATCGGGACAGCGAGATAGCGCTGGCTACACATTCTAGCCACAGCCTATCAAAATATGTACTTCCTTCTTTGCGGGAAGAACACGAGTTGGCTGGAGAGCCTAGCTACTAAAAGGAAACTCTCATTTTGAAAGGGGGAGATTGAGCCAGACCAAGACATATGAGGCAAGACTCCTTCCTCCCTGCCCTGCAAGCTGGCTTGGCTTCCACCAGCAAAAAAAAAAAATAATCCATTGAGTCTAAAGCAAACGCGCGTGTTACCCCCCCCAGCTACCTGACGGCTGATGTAGACAGGCTAGGGTTCGTTTCATCTGCACACAGCCAGCAACAAAGCAGAAGCCTCCAGCTGCTTTACATCGCTCCAGGTCCTTCCGAGTTCGCAGAGGGAGCCAGGCTGCTCTCCTGCAAATCCTCTGCGCTGTCTTCAGAAGACAGGGATTAAACCTGAATGTGTGATTTTACAGTTGGACTTGATGATTTTAGAAGTCTGTTCCAACCTTCATGATTCTATGATTCTATGACTTAGAGTCCTACAGTCAGGCAAGAATAACTCCCACCAAAGTAAGCCCCGGCTGCTGGATTTTATCAGGCTGCATTGCAGCCTCAACTCCTTTGTATCGGCAGACAGGGGCTCTTTGCACAAGCAACAAACCAGAAAGCAATCCAGCCAGGCAAAACGCAAGCCTGCTGCCAGACAAACTATCACAAAGGCAAAACTGTTCTCAGCAGCCTCGGCAGAAACACCAGTTCAGCAGTAAGAGAACTGAACTTCACCCTGGTTTGCACTATCAAGGCCCAGATCAACGAAAAGCAGTTTTCTAATCTTAATTACGGCCATGCAGCACCACTGAGTTTAAGTAAGGATGAGTCTGTCTTTCATTCAAAGTTCAAGCCTTCTTTTCTGTAGCATGAGCAACCTGGCCAGCAGAGGAGAGCCCCAGGAAAGCCTCGTGTGCCTTGCTGCTACTCGCTCCCCAGCTCCCCGTGCTGCAGCCAGCCAGTCCGGATCCCTTGCACCTGTCCTGCAAAGGGAACATTCCCTGTTTAATCACGGTTTCCAGGCAGGTTAAGTCAGAGCAGGCTCTGGCAACCCAGAGATGTCACCAGCAGAGTTTGCTTGTGTTGTTGGGATGCCATGGTAACACCGCATAACTTCACAACCGCACGGGCTGGTAAATACTTCCAAGCCCACGAGAATGACCCCCAGGGACTGAGGTTTGGTAGGACAGAAGACACTGTATTGACTGGTTAAACACCCTCCCGGGGAATGGAATGCTTTGACACTGCGACTGCTGTGCTTGGTGTCACACAAGCGAGCCCGGCCCTTGCACAGCCAGGACCAGCCTGCCGCCGTGCACCGACACTCCCACAGCTGATGAAAGAGCCACAAGCAATAAATCCCTCCATAAATGCCTGGGAAAACAAACCAAGCTCTCAATTCCAGCTCAGAAAGTGAAAACAACCAACCAAAAAAAAAAAACCAAATATGGTCATGTCCTACTGGAAGAGGAAGAAATCTTTGCAGGCGAGGAAAATTGTACGTTAAGAGCGTGTTCTTATGCGGCTCAATGTCTGCCTGTTGTTTCCACATCCTCTGTCGATACCCCGTGGGCTATCTCTGGCTGTGTTTACACTGCGATGTTTGGTTTGAAAGCTTTCTGGAGCAGGGAGTGCCCTTCGGTTTTGTGTTTGCACAGTGCGGTCCTAGTTTGCCATTACCGCTCCAAAGTGCTTCGGCAGTGAGACATAAATCAATCAGTGTCCTAACAACAGGCAGTGTTCTGGTGGTCTGATGATCGGGGCATCACGACGGGGCACTCAGGGGGCTGTCAGAACGCCAACGCCAACCTGCTGTTCTGCTTCACGCCCCAACGCAACGCCAACACAGCAGCGCTTCCACCGACCCCTGCAGCCACTGCCGCGCTGAAGATTCCCACGGTGCTGCGACCACAGCTCGCCCTTTCCAGGCCTAAGTAGCCTCATTAACAAAAACTTCCAGCTCACCAATTATTCCTATGAAGAGAGAGAGATTGCTCCAGAGGGAGCTTGTTCTCTTACTGTCCCAACTGCAGGCACCGTATGTCAACAATCTGATGCACAAATGAACCATGTTAGGATAAGGTGGCCACCTAGTATGAAGTTTTATTGATTTATTTTGTCCTACAGGCTACAAAGCTCAATATAATGATGCAGCTCTTCAGCCTAGTATCTCAGTGACAGGAAAGCAGCTTTTCCAGAAAGGCGACGGCTGGCTGATTTGAAGGATTCATCTGTTCCAAAGGTTGGTACCTCCGTACAGGTCATCACCTTGCAGCCGGAACCCTCCTGCTGTAACTCAGGGCCTTACACCTAATTTTAAGTTGTTTAACTGGTATCTTTAATTTTCTGCCACTGCCCTCTTCTGAAGCACTTAAATGGCTCTCTTGACCATGGTATGATTCCCCTGTTAGTATTAGGTCACCACACTTTTAGTCTTACACTGGATAAACTGAATGGGCCGAAATCCTCACGTCTTTCACAAACAAGTGGCTTTTCTGAGGACCTGAAATCAGTTCTGCGGCCTCTCTCTGCTCCAGTGCCCTTGGCACGTGCGTTGGTATTGTTCATGCTGCCACTTCACTCAGCTTCACCCACGGAAAACGGGTTTCGCTCTCCACTCTTACAGCCCTGCAGCTGTAACTGCCTGGGGCCTCAACCAGTGCTAGAGGCCGGTATGACGGGTCTCACCTAAACCACGCTGTGTCTTCCAGCTACACCTCTCCTTTTAGCAACGAGGCAGAACAGCCTTGGTGTCGAGGGGAGCACCACGGGGACCAGGAGGCATAGCTGGACGCAGCTCGCCCAGGGTGACAGAGCCCGCTGCTGTAGCCCAGAGCCAGCTCCGCACTAACAAGGCTTCCAGCGAGCTCCTGTCCCTCCAGGAGCTGCAGCTCAACTTTCCTCCTCCCTCTGCCTGTTCTGCTGAGGCTGGGAAGCTCTGAGCTCAGGTCCGCTCCTGGGAAGCTGCCCGCTGCCAGCCATGTAATCCACCGCTGAGAAACACCTCCTCGAGCTCCGGCATGGCCACGCCTGTTCTGTCAGCTGAAACCCAAAAAGAGCATCGGTCTAAACGCCACGGTGTTTAGATAACAGCACAAAGCCACTCGCCAGCACCTCCAGCAACAACTTGGACCCTCAAAGGAGTTGCTGCCGCTGGCATCTCCCCCCCTCCAGCATTTTGCAGCTGCTCCGCGCAG